AGGAAGTATGTGATTTTTTTTCTCAAACTCTTTTGTGACCATGTAGTTTTTAACTGTATATCCTCTAATTAGAATGGAAAACTTACCCCTTAGCATCATTAACTCGGGCTCGCCTAGGAAGGACCGCAAACCATGGGTAGGATACACAATGTCCGCATCGTTGTTACCATATAACTGAAAAGTAGAGTATTACAATATATCGGCAAGAGGATCTAATGCAATTTTACCCAAAAATTGTGATTTTTATGTGAAATAAAATTAAGAGATGAGTTTTTGTAGCCTTACATCACGCCATATAGGAAAAGAAAACACAATTACTAAGGACTAGACATAACGGCGAGGGACGGATGTGTTAAGACATGGGTGGCATACTAGTTACCTTTTTTTTTCATTTAAGTAAACAAATTGGAGAACAAGGTCGGTGGTCCCTTGGATTCGATCCGATCCGTCACGGCAGGATTGGAGCCGGTCGATCCACAACATTAGATCTGGCAGTACGCAACTGGCTCTGCAAACAGCAAATAATGAGATTAGTAAAGAACCAAGTAATGTAGTGGTTCACTTACCTTAAATAAAAGCGATGAAATGTAACAGTTCTCGAAGCCACTCAGCCGGGAAGCAAAATACTAGTCGTGATTTAACTTTTTTGATATTATTGAATCAAAAACATTGAAGGTTTTTAATCGCCAGAGTAATGACTCTCTGACAGTATGAAATTGTAACGTAAAGGGAATCTTCGTGAGAAGTTACCATTTATTTTTAGAGGTAAAATTTTTGTATTCAAGTATCTTGGGTTTCGAAGGCCCCACTTAAGTACATGAATCAAAGATAAAAAATGTTGAAGCACCACCAGTTTTCTTGGGAGAATTAATAATTAAAGTAATGTTAGGGGATAAATTTACCTTATGTTTTGAATATGAAGTTGATATAATCCTCCATAATTAGATTTAAAAAAAACAATCGTGATGGATCACCAATGTGACACCCCTTGTAACGGTAGCCCTAGTTAGATTTGGTAGTGGAATTATAACTTATAAGAATAAATAAGCGAACATTCGGTGGAATGGAAGATTGTCCTTTTTGCATCTTTTGATAACTGTAAAGCAATGTTTTCAAGTTGGATTCCAGATGTCTGAAGACGAGATGTGTGGGGGGTCTGATTCCGTTTCAGTTATCTTAATTAGGGCTATTCGCGGAACGTTAGCCGTGAAACTAGTTTTAATGAGCCACAAACGTGACACTCCTCGCAATCGAGGACTGCTAAGTAGAAGAGAATTTTTATATGAAAATGTTTTTAAATATACCGGGAAGAGAGAAAGGAAGGAAGTGGGCCCACCACCACCCCTGCTTGTCTTGGTCAAGCAGTCCACTTCGGGATAGGTCGAGTAGAGGAAGATGGTTCGGAGCACATAGTGCGAGTAATGACAGGCAGAGTAAATATCTCTAAGGTTAGAGTATGAGGCAAAATCCAAGATGGGAGAATCAGGAACGTGACTAAAGTTAGATAAATTCTTCGTCAAATAAAAATGTAAATGCGGGAATTATTTCCAACATCAAATCCTACAAAACAAACACAGAAATCTGACTTGGCGAAACAATCGCCTAATGCTGATGCTGCCGACTCTATCTCTGTTAATGTTTCTAATCAAGAATCTGTCACAAAAATCGCTTCATATGCGGATAAACTTACGAATAACAATCGCTCGCCACAGATAAACGAGTTACGTAGTAAAACTGACGATGTTAATCAAAGATTAAAAAGCAACAACGACGAAGGAGACTGGGTAGTCAAAAAAACGCGAAGAATACGCAAAAAATCTCCCATGCGTGGTACCAATGCTACTGCTACAGATATAAAAGGTATTCCTAGATTGTACCATTTCTATATTAGTAGACTGCAACCAAATATTACTCAAGATGATGTAATCTCATTTCTTGCAAAAAATGACGTTCACAATGCCGAATGCAAGAAAATGATTTCTAAATTTCCTGACATCTACAGCAGTTTTAAACTCTCCGTGTATGAAGAATATCTTGACATTATACGTCAGCCTAATATTTGGCCATCGGGAGTCACAATTGGGAAGTTTTTTCCACATCTGGACAAACTCAGAGAACGCCACAAAACGCTAATATTAAGCCAAGCCACAACGTAACTGATCCGGATAATTCTTCTACTAATTTTGGAATTTTTCATCTGAACATCCAATCGGTCTCTAATAAAATTTTGGAGCTGGAAGCTATTTTAGAAATAAATAAAAATGTTAACGTAGTGTGTCTGACTGAACACTGGTTAAACGATTGTGCTGCAAACCTTATTAGTGTAAACGGGTTTAAACTGATTTCACACTTTTCTAGACAGACACATATACACGGTGGTGTATTAATTTTAGTAAAAAACAATGTACAATGCGATCCTATTCTTATCACGAAGACCCTATCGAAAGAGATCGACTGCGAAATATCAGGTTTAGTTATCAAAGACTGTAATTTGATTATTATCTCGGTTTATCGGTCACCATTAGGTAATTTTAATACATTTACTGATACTCTTAACACTTTACTGTCAAAAATAGACATTTACAAAAATGTGATAATTTTATGTGGCGATTTTAATGTAAGTTTCTGTTCTAATGATAGGCAAGCCAAATATCTTGTTGATTTTTTACAAAGTTATAACTTATATCCTACAATATTTGAAAATACGAGATGCAACAATTGCATCGATAACATTTTTGTTAATTTTAAACATGGTTATAGTTTTAATACGCGTGTCTTTGAGACATGCATGTCTGATCATATGGCTCAGGTTATTAATTTTGAAATAATTCATAGTACTAAACGTGTAAATAGTAGTTTAAAATTGTCAAAACCTATTACAAAGATGGGTAAATTTATGTTTTACCGCCTGCTTGAAAACTGCGACTGGTCCTTCATCGACGATGGTCTTAAAACCGCAGAGGAAAAATTTTCTACTTTTATTACTACTTTTCTTAATTATTTTGATTGTAGTTTCCCCACCAAGGTTCGGAAGGGTGGAAGTACTAGAAGCATCGCTCGTAGATGGTATAACGATCGATTGAAAAATATGCATGATGTTCTACTGGTTCTTAATGGATGTTACAAAAGGGTGAGAAATGATGATCTACGTAAACTTGTGAGTAATTACCGTAAGCTTTACAAGGTTTCATTGCAAAATGCAAAAATTGCAACTAATGATGCGTTTATAAAGGCATCTAGTTGTAAATCAAAAGCCATATGGCAAGTAATTAAACAAAACAACAATGATAACCAAATGCACACTCAAAATCTAACACCTAATGAGTTTAACAACTTTTTTGTTAAAATTGCTGATGAGATAAGTGCGTCACTACCTGTGCAGAACAATGACCCAATTACATATTTTAGTAATTTCAAAATCAACAACTCTACGTCGTTTGATTTTCAAGAAATATCCTTTAATGAGATGCGTGATACTGTATCCAGCATTAATAATAGTGATTGTAGAGATCATTTTGGCATCACGGCTGACATTGTGAAGTCCGTGTTAAACGTCATAATTGTTCCATTAACTAAAATTATAAATGCGTGTATACGAAATTCAGTTTACCCCAATGAATTGAAAATATCCAAAGTTATTCCTCTGCATAAAAAGGGTTGTAGGATAATCTTACAAACTATCGACCACTATCAATTACTCCAGTCTTTTCTAAAATTTTTGAAAAAATTTTAAAAAAAACAAATTATGTCCTATTTTGAAGCAAAAAAGTTATTTTGCGACAGTCAATTTGGTTTTCGTAACAATAAATCCACTGCGAGTGCCATCTCGAAGTTAACCAACTTAATTTTAACCTGTTTTGAATCTAATGAAATTTGTGTTGCAACTTTTTAGATTTAACTAAAGCCTTCGACTGTGTGAGTCACTCAATATTACTGAGTAAACTTCCAAAATATAATTTCCAATATAAAAGCATTATGTTGTTAGAATCGTATTTGAACGATCGAATTCAGTATGTATGTTTTAATAACTGTGCATTGGGTTTTAAGCAAATTGAGACAGGCGTGCCTTAAGGTTCAGTACTTGGCCCAGTACTTTTCCTAATATATTATTACATTTATTATTATTATTGTTATAATTAGTAAAGGTGCAGCAAAGAACGTGTAAAGTGAGATTTTTTAAGTTAATGGGAGTGGGGCGTTGGTCATCCTCAGATGGCTCAAGTGGTCCCACTGAACCCCCGAAGACTCACTTACCTTTTCAAAGTACTAGAGGCTCATAACGTTCCACTAAGTCAGTCAGCTTCGAAATAAAACCGATGCTATTTTAAAGACTGCTGTACGATTGATTACCTTGTTTTTAGGAGACAGATCAAATTTAGGAGAATAGCTCTTGCCGGATGGTAATACAGTCCGTGTCGCATCAAAAGTTTACACTTAATAGCAAGTAGGGGCAATTATGAAGTCGTGACTGTACCGTTTTTTGACTTTCGAGGTGGCTTAGACACTTTTCCCTCTGTCAAGAGCCCTACTCCGTAAATTTTATCTGGTCCCATAAACACAACTGCATGACTTGGAGGACTTGCTATGTGTAATCTAGTACAAAATTATCAAGAAAGGATTTTCATTACCGCAACCACTACCCACTACGCGCATTTTAACCGAGGTGGGAACTACAAGTATATTAAATGCGTATAGAGAAAATAAAATCGGTTCTGAATCTTTCAAAGAAAAAGGTTTCAAAATTGGGTTGAGTATTGAATATTTCCAATCTGCTAGCAGATCATTTGAGAAAGAATCTTTATGTTCTACGCGTATAAATACATCGGATATTGCGCATGGGAGCGAAAGTTAATTTTATACATCACCAAGATGATAAGTTAAGGGGATTATTACACCCCACTCAGTTTTATGATACAAATTTCAGTCAAAATCAGTCTTTGACCTCCATTGTACGTTTCCCTACTGGTAAATACACAACAAATGTGGAAAAGAAAATGTAGTCGCATGCAAAAACAAAGATCCTACCTTGATAAGGCTGCCCTTCTGGAATCTGTAACAAGGAATAAGTATAAGTAGGTACATTTGATTAAAATTAATTGTTATATTCCACATAATTCTGATTTACTCCTAAAAGCAAGGGTATGTTAAGTATGCCACGTTAAAAGAATAAGGGACACTTGTAATCACCTTTTAGAATTATTCATTTAATAAACATAGAAATGATACATGGGTTAATAAATAAACAAACGTGTTTGAAAAGGTTTGAAATTTTGATTTACTAAAGTGACGTCATTGTTTTATTTACTACTCACCTTTCTTTATTTCAACAAATTCCGTGTGATCAACAGGATGAGTAGTTGAAAGGATTCAAATCTATCAATCACGCCAGGTCCCCTCACAACAGTAGATATAGTGGTCTGCTACTGACTGCGAAGAGCAAAACATTGGAATTAGTAAGAATTCAAGTAATCTAGTGATTTAATTGGTTACCTACTTTTAAAACCAGAAATACCTATTTTTGTGTAATAATACATGAATTCTAACAGTTCTCGAAGTCATTCAGCTTGGAAACGAAATATTTGTTTTGCAGAGAAAATCAAATTACTCCATTCTAACAGTGTGGCTATGAATTCATAGTCATACCAATTAAAATGGGGAAAGTTGGTTGACGCTGCGAAGCAGACCATTTGGTCCAATCTTACATTACCAAGATGATAGACTTAGAGGACAGTCACAAGACAAATCGTATTATTGCACGAAAGTTCGCGAAATTCGACGCACTATTCACTTCCCCCTACTGCACTGCTAAATACATAAAAAAAAGAAAATGCCCATGCATAGAAAAAAAATCCTACCTTGATAAGGCTGCCCTTCTGGAATCTGGAACAAAGAATACATATACGTTAAAAGAGACCAATTACGTAACTACTTAAAATTAAACAAAATGGTTACAAATAAGCTTGTGAATTCAGAAAATATACCTAAAATGGGCTTTCAAGGGAATTCTTTCCCATTTTTGTTTAGGCAGGCTATGTTTACTATAAATTTCACCAAAAGTGAGAACCTACCCTTAGCCTTATTAAGTCGGTCTCGCCTGGGAAGAACCATAGGCGGCACTGCACAACATCTGGTAGACATCTTTCTCCGTTGTCCATTACTGAAAAGGGAAATATTTTACATTAGAGAGAGTTTGTAATGCAAATGCTTAAAAAATCAAACTATTCTTCAGTTACGGACAAACAACACTTTAGGTAGAGCTTGCAAATTAATTTCTAAGCTTTTGATAAGAAGAAGGAATAGAGTAACGGAAAATTTGCAATAGTTGAGTTTGTTTTTGAGAAGAACTTTTGGACAATTAAAATAGCAATGTTGTACTGACCTCGCTCGTCTAAGCGGCATCCACGGGATTCTGCCACCGAACCGTGGGTTGACCTGGAGCATGACAGTGTTGGATCTTCAACAGATTGCAATGCCATCGATGACGCTGTGAACAACAGAGAAAATGAGTAAGTGGGCCCATTAGGCCAACACTGTTCCAAGTTTTCTGCGCATTCGTTTATTAAAGAATTATAAAAACGCAGTAGTAAACGAAACGCTTATGGTGATTCAAACGCACTTACCTTTTTCTAAAAAGCGCAAAGTTGACCTTCTAGTGTTACTAAGTGAGGTATGGAACTCTTCGAAATCGCTCAACTTCGAAACGGAAGAATGAGCTGCAATACTGAATATTGTGAAGTAAATTGATTGATTCTGCGAGAAGAACTTGCAGCCACGCTTACGTAAATAAGATGGGCGAGAAGACGGACATACCTCACTTAATTTTACGGTACGAAGGTCAGCCAGACTCACTACCTTACCTTTTGGTTATGCACTATTCACTTTTCCCCACTGCTAGATACATAAAATAAAAAGTGCAATAAACCCAACACCAGCATGCAAAAAAAGAAAATCCTACCTTTATAAGGCTGCCCTTCTCGGATCTGAAATGAAGAGTAAATTTGAATTAAAAAAATGAAAATCGAAAATATTTGTGGTACGTGTTGAACAAAGAAGCTAAAGTAAAATCTCTAAATGATTTGAAAATTGTGGCTCGAAATTTTAACACTGAACATGAAAGACAACTTTGCTTTATTAAAAAGAGCTAACTGACAACTTAAGTGCCGATTAAAATAAAGAAACTTACCCTAGCCTTATTAATTTGGGCTCTCCCAATGACCATTATCCATCGCAGGAAAGAAACACAACACAACCGCACTCTTTCACACTTGCACCAATAACTGAAAAGAAAAATAAGTTAACAAATGGTTTCTAATGGTGCTTTTTTTAATTATTAGGGCAAGGTTTTAATCAAGGTAGCTCTACCAACCCAGCCCGCTATGCATTTACAAATATCCATACCCAATCCGGGACTAGAACCAGGGACCCTTAATGCCGCAGTTGAGCTTCCACCCCACTGGGCGACACAGGCGGCCGGCTAATTTTGTAAAATGCCAAAAACTAACAAAAAGCAATGAGAAAGTGTTTAATAAATGACAAAAACACCGGTTTGTAGTATCCTTCCAACTATTGCATTATGTTAGTAGGTAGGAAACAAATCTTAATTTTGTGGAATGTGGTCCATTTGACATGATTAAGGTAGTAAGAATTCAAGATGGCGGTCGCACTCAAAAACTACGTGTCAAAAAAATTTTTGAAATAATTTCAAATGGAAAAGTTCTAATTTTCATGTCTACCTATATCTCAAAATCTCCATCTTTAATAGCGACCCAGCATAAAAATGATCTAATTTTCCTTTCCATAAAGTGCAGTCGATTGGGGTATACTAGATTAGCTTTAACTGGAGAGGACGATTAAAAATTGCCAAGGGTTGAACTTTTATATCTGTATATGAAGTTTGCTATAGTCCTAGTGGAAAAAAAAACAAAAATTCTCCTTCCCTAAGAAAAATGACACACTTGAAATAGAGCAATTTCATGGGAAACTTGATTAAGGTTAAAATTTCACTCCTTCGGGCGTTCATGTTTAGAAAATTGCAAAGGATTTTACTAGAAAGCTGAAAATTTAAAAAATGATGGAGATGAAACTTTTATCTTTGTCTATGAGATCACTAAAGTCCTGTGGGCATAATTAGACGATAACACAAAAAGTGACACCCCCCCCCCCCCCCATAGTAGGAAGTTTTTATCCCATTCATCTTAAATGAGAGGGCCTAATACCAAAAGTTCAGAAAAATTATCTCCAAAATAGAAAGGCTTAAGGGAAAAAATGACAAAAAAAAGATGTTGCTCAAGTCTTCTACTTGCTTAGGCCAAAAAAGGACCGTTTTATAAAAATGAGGAAAATTGTGGCCGAGAATCAGCTACAAGTTTTCTATTTGACCTTTTAAGTTAGAACAGTGGAAATTTGAAGGAAAATTTAAAATATTTGAACAAAATTGACTCGAAAGTAAAAAGTTCCGGTCACGCATGCACACCGCCCTTTTTAGGTGACAATTCAACTCATGTATAAAAAATCGCATAAGCCGCAGTGAAATTGTCACTTTGACAGCGGCAAAAGTTACCTGCAACTTTTCCAGCGACAAATGCACTAGTGGTTTTTTCACTTATTCATTTTCGAACCAATTATCGCATTATCCTTTCCCATATGACTAGTTTGACGTCTGTCAGTAATTGATTAGTTATGTGAATTTCTTGTTCGTTAAATTGTCCTGCCGAATTACACTCGAGGTTTGTATTTAAACCGAGTAAATTTGTGTTGTTGCAATTCAAATCTGTTGCCTTTTAGCAATTGAACTCGAAAAACTGTCAACCTAAAAATGCTCCACCTACGGTGTCGCATTTTGATTAGTTGACAGTTTTTCTCGTCTAATTGCTAGGCAACAGATTTTCATTACCTAAACAACCCAAATTTACTCGGTAAAATACAAACCTCTTGTGCAATTATAAGTGACAAAAGTAAACAGGTTTCTTTTATGCTACAAGCATTGCATATATTTTGACCAATTGGCCTGATAACAAAATCAACAAAATTAACTCACGAATATTAAAGTTGGAGCCGCACATGCTCTACGCTTTTTTTGATTGAATTTTCAAGAAAGAAGGCAGTCAAAATTTAAAGGGAAAAATTACAAAAAGTAAGCAAGTTGCCTTTGTGCATATATAAATGTACGCTTGACCTTTGCGCTAGGTTTCATATCAAATTGTTGCTCTACTACCTTAACCAAATAGGGCGTAAGACAGGAACGGGCCTGTTGTGCCTTTTGTCAGAATTCAAACATCATCCCGAATAAGTTGTAAATGTTGCTTAGTGGTCAGTATAGGGGAACTATCTATTAATGCCCCCCCGGCATCTCGTGTGTTGAGATCTCATCTCTCTCACACGAAGTGGCGGACAAGCAAACAATGAGCTAGTATTTTCACTTAAAAAGACTAAGCTTACTTCAGTTTCAAATGGTTTTATTGGAATAGGAGAACGTAATTGTAATTTTGTACAGCGTAGCGAGGGCGATCAGGGAGTAGTGAGGAAGACGCGCCTAAGTTGCTCGAGTGAAAAAGTTAACCCTAGATCTAGGTTATACAAAATTGGGTGAAATTTGGAAATTGCTTGAATCTAAAATCGATTGCCACAAGAAGCTTTCGATTTTTATATACAACTGCAATAAAAATTAATATTGGCCTCTCTAAATAACTATGAAAGGGGGCTGAGAAATATTTTTGACAATTATCCCCCTATCTACTACAATTGCGAAGGAAATTTTGAGTGATGAGGGTGTTGTTTCAATTTGGATTTTTAAGATGTGTATGCGTACGTTCGACTTTAAATCGTAGAATAAATAAAGCGCTTTGCTCTTCCAGCTTAACCGATAAGGATGCAGGACAGAAAAAGCTCAAGTTCTTACATTTTTTCAAATGGGTGACAAAATATTCTTATTGAAACATTTGAATTTATAACGAAGCTTACAGATGAGATTTTATAGAAAAAATAACAGAAATAAGAAATTTTGTGCATACTTTTGCACTAAAGGGGCTTTACCGAATTTTTTTTCAAAATTGTGCCTTTATAAGCAACCTTAAGAGCTGAAGTTAAAGGGAGAGAATGACAAAGATAGGAACTGTTGCGCAAGCATTCTTTGACTAACACGGCATAATCGCAAAATGATACTAGAATTGACCCGCAAATAAAGAAGTGCGATTCGTTCAAGTACAGGGTGGTTCAAATTCGTGGCTCACCATTGGGATCACCGTAACGGTAAGAGATACAGTGTAGGTTAAATGGGGGCAAAGATTCCTCTCTTTGTGACTAAAAAAACGCATTTGAAATTTTTTTTAAATCATTGAAAACTGAGGTATCACCCAAAATCTCTCACAGTTACGGAGATCCCAATGGTGAGCCACCAATTTGAACCACTCTGTATAAACTGATTTTTATTTGAATTTATAAAGAAATTTACAGTCAACAGTTAAGGGACATAGGTATTGACCAAAATTAGCAAGTAGCTTTTGTGTATGCGAACACTTAACTTTTACCAAAATCATTCAGCTTGTTTTGACGGAAAGGGCCTAATACAAAGACATTTCGGGAAAGTTTCACCAGAAATAAAAAAAGTTTGAGTCGCGCACGTACTTACACCCTCTTCATTTTAATCCATGATAAAGCTTACTGCCGAAATTTTAGGTAAAAAGTGGGACGAAATAATAAAGTTCCTTATGCTTTTGCATTACCAGCTCAAGCTACTCACTTTCAGGTAAAGAAAATGCTTTCAAAGAAATTAAACTTAAAAATGTTCCAAAACCCACTCGTGGGTATTGCCGCGTAACACAAAGTATTGAAACGATGCATCGTCATCGAAAGTACACAAAATGTCGAATCTGTATATTGAAGTACATCCACGTCCAGAGAAAGAGAGGGGTTAAATAAGTAAAATAAAGTTTCAAAGAACTTACCACACATAAGAAAGTTGGCTATGAGCAGTCTGTGCAGTCACTGCGCATGTCCACATAATTTTTACCATGTGCGAAATGATTGCCTTTACTAGAAGCATCTGTGGTTAAAATTTCAAAGAAATATCTCCATAAATATGAAAGTTGGCATTGCGCAATCTGCGCAAAATATGGAGTTAAATGAAACTGATCGAAATGGGCAAATATAGACCATAACAGCTATCAATAAATTAGCGAAAACCCGAAGTCTCTAGGTGGCCCAGGGGCCGAGATCTCGATGGAACGGACGGACGGACGGACGGAAACACGAGCACATAAGCTTTACCTCAACTTCGTTGTGTTACGCTAAAAAATAGCACCGTATTAAACATTTCTATTGGAATATGTAAACGAAATTGTTTTGACAGGGTAGCAAACGCAGTCGCAGGGGCTGGCGACCAAGACGGGCCTAAAAAGTATCTCGAGGAAAGAAAGTTTAACTTTCGAATAGTACCTTACTTCGGAATGGGTTGAAATATTCTTTGACCAGGTCCAAAGCAAACCTATCGGGTCACACCCAATCTTACTAAATTCTCCCCGGTAGGATGGTAAACAGTCAAGTACTTCCTGATTTATTGCCTATACATAGGTATAGAAAATCGAAGGAAGTTGGCCTTTCGAAAGATTCGAAAATCACGGATTTCTTGATTAGTGCTAAAACAACCCCCGGTATTTAAGGGGTAGGTATACGCATAAAATTGACTGTAAAGTTGGAATTAATCAAAAATCAATTGACTCAAAAAGCCTTCGATTTTTATATACACAGGTGAATTAAATGCTAACGTTTGAGGTAGATTCAGACCGCCTCTTTAATTAAAAGGGAAAAAGGGTGAGAAATATTTTTGGAAATTATCCTAGTCTACTACAGTTATGAAAGAAAAAGGTCACTTAAAATACGATCATTTTCTAGAAAGAAATGCAATCATTAGTTACGGCCACAGGTGCGATGACTAACTCCTTATCTCGCAACATGTGGCGGCAGTGCAGTTGAAAATCTAGTTCGAAAACATTAATATACACTGTCAAATGATTCTTTGTAAAATGGTACGATCAATTTTGACTTTTTTAGAATTTTACCCTGCACCGTATGAAGTCAAAATGCTTTACATGAATACCTACTAACGAACCACGTCCTTTAAAGAAGGTTTTGAATGAATTTGAAAGATCATTTTACTGAATAGGGATGAATGTTGTCTAAAATAGATGCGGTTTTTTGTCCAAAGTTACCTACTAACGATTTAGTGTACGAAGTATTACCTAACACCCAAATTACAAATCAAAAACTCACCATTTTCCGTTTTGGTTCGATCCCTGGTCGAAGCACGAAACAAACACTACACACGCTTCCAGGGCGCAACGCGAAATGAAACGTATTAGGTAGGTATTGGAATGCGTGTTACCTGTAATAAGCGATAACACCCAGGCCGTAGCGTCTTATCTTAAAATTGGCATAACTGGCATGTAAAAAGTTTCCAAACACAATCGCGTTAAGTGGCGTGTAGATAAAACAGGATTTAGTTGCAACCCTCCCCGTTTAAAAATTAACGCAATTCCTATTTTTGTTTCTGGGATTGTACGTTAAGGGCGTTTCTATAAATGCTCACTAAAAATCGCAACCATACCCGTTTTCACCGCAGTAAAAGCTGAACGTGTTATTTTCTATTTTTGTGATTGATTATTTCTAAAAAGTCTACTGACTACGCTGCCCCGAAATGTAACGATTTTTACCACCCGCCTTTCGTTAGTAAAGGAGGTAATGCCATGTGGTAAAAAATGCCCCCTCCCCCGCCGGTTTTGACGGACTTACACGTTTTAGAGCACCAGGGATCTAAATCAAACAAAAGCTCAATGATGTAGGTCGGTCTGTCGGTGTGTCTGCATGTATCCTCATTTACGGCCTGAATCGATTGGAACCAAATTTGGTACACATACTTTAAGAGTATGACATAAAAGGAAAATATTTTTGGCAGATTCGCACAGGCACAGGTGTGCGGATGGTCAAATGGGCTCTGTTGGAAACCAATTTTAACCCTTTGGGTCATTGTTATTGTGTGCACTTTTTGAAAAAAATAGATGCAGACGCAGACCCAACTTTCTTGTTTATGAGCATTTTTTTTTTAATTTAAATGAAAGTGCGCTGTTATAACCCAAAATTTCTACAGCAAATTTCCCAACCTGAAATCGATCTTTTAATTACCCTGCGATAAGTCGAATATATTTTACTAGCGAAATCTTCTTTATGAAAGATACAAGTAATTGCGTCTGTTCGGCTGAGGGTTTGAGATCTCAACTATCACAACACCCGCGGTCCTCAACTAGCTTTCGGTTTATACCACGACGATGTAAGCCCAAAACTCGTTTTTTTTTCTATTGAGGGGTAGAGAAGGTCTCAAAACTATTATTAAGAAAAAAAGTTAATGACAAAAATGAAAATTTTAAAGCGGTGATTTTTGATGCGCCACCAGTTACACACTTTTTAATTTCGATCTTTAACATCGCTTATGGTGGAAACAACAGGAAAACAATTAGCAATCGGTATACAACTATCTTGCAAGAAGCATTCCACTTGGTTTGACCAAAGGACTGCCCAATTTTCAGTGCACTTTTCCTGTAAATAAGGGAGGTGATGCCTTCCATGCACTACACACTTTTTAATTGAATTTTTAAGCGCAGTTACCACTCAAGAATTCTACAGCAAATTTGAAAACCCATGACCGAAGTTGATTCTTTAATAATTGCACACAACATTTCGACGATAAATCGAATATATTGTGCTACCAACATCTTCATCGAAAACACGGTTACCTATTCGTCTGTTTTAGATCTCAACCATCACCGAACTGCGGTCTTCACAAAGTTTTGCGATAAAAATTTCTTTGCGTACTCATTTCATTTGCTTTGGATTGGCCATTAGAGCATTATCATCAAATTACATAAAAATTGAACCACAAATAAAAATGTGCACATATACATTATACACATACACCCTTTTCATGTGAAATTATAAGTAAACATACAGCAGCAATGTAAAATAAGAAAGTTTCTTTTGTGCATCGCTACACTCAACACTTGTACAAGCTCTGTTTAACAAAAAAAAAATTATCAAAGTCCTCGTTTGAGATCGAAGGGACTTCAGCGCATTTTTGTGTGGCAGATCAGTATTCTATTAGCCACTTTCGACTCAACCATCAATAACAGATCTTGTCGAAGGCTACTTACTTTCCGCGTGCACCCGCAATTCGCTTTTAAAGTTTTGACTCCACCATCAGTAAGATCGTGTCGNATGTAAAATTATGGAACATGTTAAAAAACGGTTTTTTGTTTTTTTTTACAATAACTTTTTGTAAGCGGTACAGAAAAAAATCCTTCCTTGGTACAAGACTCGACACCATAACGAACCAAATAGCGAAAAAAGTAGAACAATAGCTCTTAAGATAAAAAAACTAGTAGCGTCGCAAAGTTAGCGGACGGACGGACGGACGGACGGACGGACAAAGTGGCCACAATAGCGCATTTTTTTTTATTTTTGTGGAAATGCGCTAAAAAGGTACAATGGCAAAACTTTGTCAAAATTCCGCCGCAAATAAAAACGTTTGGATCATGCCTGCACTTACGCCCTTTTCATTCTAATCAATGATAAAGCTTACTGCCGAAATTTTAGGTAAAAAATGGCAGGAAATAATAGTTCCTTGTGCTTTTGCATCACCAGCTCAACCAATGACGGCACTTTCAGATTAAAAAAATGCTTTAAAAATAATTGAACTTAAAAAATAGCATCACGTATTGGAATCTGTAAACGAAATTGTAGTTTGTACGGGGTAGCAAACGCAGTCGCAAAAGTTTGTAAACAGGATGGGTCTGCAAAGTATCTCCAGGAAAAAAAGTTTAACTTTCGAATAGTACGTTACTTCAGAATGGATTGAAATATTCTTTGACCAGGACTAAAGCAAAGATTATGCACGAACCTATCGGGTCACACCCAATCTTACTAAATTTTCCCCGGCAGGATGGTAAACGGTCAAGTACTTCCTGATTTATTGCCTATACATATAGAAAATCAAAGGAAGTTGGCCTTTCGAAAGAAATTACAATCACGAATTTCTTGATTAGTGCTAAAACAACCCCCGGTATTTAAGGGGTAGGTATACGCATAAAATTGACTGTAAAGTTGGAATTAATCAATTGACTCAAAAAGACTTCGATTTTTATATACAGGTGAATTAAATGCTAACGTTTGAGGTAGATTCACACCGCCTCTTTAATTAAAAGGGAAAACGGGTGAGAAATATTTTTGGAAATTATCCCCCTGTCTAGTACAGTTATGAAAGAAAAAGGTCACTTAAAATACGACCATTTTCTAGAAAGAAATGCAATCATTAGTTACGGCCACAGGTGCGATGACTAACTCCTTATCTCGCAACATGTGGCGGCAGTGCAGTTGAAAATCTACTTCCAAAACATTAATATTGCACTTTCAAATTATTCTTTGTAAAATGGTACGATCAATTTTGACTTTTTTGGAGTTTTACGTCACACCGTACGAATTCAAAATTCTTTACATGAAATCTACAATACCTACTAACGAACCACGTTTTATTTGGATCCCTGGTGCGATAAAACGTGTAATTCCATCAAAACCGTGGAGGGAGGGGGTATTTTTTACCCCAATGCATTACTTTCCTTACTAACCTTTCGTTAGTAAGGGTAGTAATGCATTGGGGTAAAAAATAAAACAAAACCTCTAAAGAAGGTTTTGAATGAATTTGAAAGATCGTTTTGCAATGAATGTGGCCTAAAACAGATGCGGTTTTTTGGTCCAAATTTACCTACTAACGACTTAGTCTACGAAGTATTACCTAACACGTAAATTACTAATCAAAAACTCACCATTTTCCGTTTTGGTTCGATCCCTGGTCGAAGCACGAAACAAACACTTCACACGCTTCCAGAGCGCAACTCAAAATGAAAAGTAATAATTAGGTATTGGAATGCGTGTTACCTGTAATAGGCGATAACACCCAGCCCGTAGCGTCTTATCTTAAAATTGGCATAACTGGCATCCAAGCACAATCGCCTTAAATACAGTCGACTCAGTGGCGTGTAGTTTAACAGGATCTACTTGCAACCCTCCCCGTTTAAAAATTACGCAATTCCTAACAATATCCCCTTTTGTCCTTTATGCTATTTACGCGGTGCGCTAACTATTTTTGTTTCTGGGACTGTACGTTAAGGGCGATTCTATAAATGCTCACTAAAACGCAACCATCTCCGTTTTCACCGCAGTAAAAGCTGGACGTGTGAGTTTCCATTTTTCTGATTGATTATTTCTAAAAAGTCTACAGACTACGCTGCCCCGAAATGTAACGATTTTTGACCACCCACGTGGGCATTTTTTACCCCAATGCATTACTACCCTTACTAACGAAAGGTTAGTAAGGAAAGTAATGCATTGGGGTAAAAAATACCCCCCTCCCTCCACGGTTTTGATGGAATTACACGTTTTAACGCACCAGGGATCCAAATAAAACAAAAGCTCAATGATGTCTATCGGTCTGTCGGTGTGTCTGTCTGAACTCTCATTTACGGTTAAACCGCTGAACCGATTGAAACCAATTTTGGTACACATATTTTTGACATAAAAGGAAAAAAGCTGAACATATTTTTGCAGATTCGCACAGGCGGAGGTGTGCGGGTGGTATCTATGCTAGCCACAGCAAATTTTTTTATTTTAAAATCTCGTTCTTTTAGCGCATAACCACAGAAGCTAAAAAATGCGTTATTGTGACCACTCTGTCCGTCTGTCTGACATCCGTCCGCTTGTTCGTTTGTACGGCTGAATCGCTAATAAATCTTGATCTTAAGAGTTATTGCCCTACTTTTTTTCGCTATTTGGTGCGTTATGGTCGAGACTCGCACCAACGAGAAAATGTTTTCTGAGTTTTATCACATTCGTCGAAATTTTAAAATAGGATTCCTCTGAGAAACCTAAATTGAAATTTCATTTTTAGCGCTATTCCATAAAAATAAAAGAAAATGCGCTATTGTGGCCACTGTCCGTCCGTCCGTCCGTCCGGCTGTCCGTCCGTCCGTCCGCTCGTTTTGCGACGCTACTAGTTCTTTATCTTAAGAGATATTGTTCTACTTTTTTCGCTATTTGGTTCGTTATGGTGTCGAGGCTTGCACCAAGGAAGGATTTTTTTCTGCGTTTATTGCTAAAAAAGTTATTGTAAAAAAACCAACAAACCGTTTTTTACATGTTCCATAATTTTACACTTTTGCTGTTTATTAACCATCCTAGAGATCATTTATAATTTTGTATTGTTGTCTGTCGTCTGTCTGTTGGTCTGTCCGTCTGTTCCTTTGCCTGTCTGTCCCTCTATCTGTCCGTGTGAACGATAATTTTGTTTAGAAATGGCCGATCGCTTTTACATCTCCGTTAGTTATGAACTGAATTGCATGAAATTCAATATGGGCATAGCCTTAGCCATATAATACGCAATGCCAAAAGTTGAGTCGAATCGATTCAAAATTCACAGTGCCCTTTTCGCATCTCGACCATATAAACCGAATTGCAAACTTTTTTCTTTTAAAAGTATTTGAATGAAATTTGATACATAGGCACTTGGAATAAAGGAAAATCAAACGCCAGTTTCAACATTTGGTTTTGCGCATGCGCAGTGTCAACTTTTTTATTTATGGAAGCATTTAAATGAAATTTGATACATAGGTGCCTGGAATAAAGGAAAATCTAGCGCCAGTTTAAAAATTTTATTTTGCCCATGCGCAGTGCCAACTTTTTTTATCTATGGAAGCATTTAAGTGAAATTTGACACTTTGGCGCTTGGAACAAAGGAAAATCTAACATTAGTTTTAAAATTTAGGTTTGCGCATGCGCAGTTCCAACTTTCTTATTTAGAAAAGCATTGAAATGAAATTCTTCTTATAAACTGAAATTGAAATAGCATGTCAAAAATGGATTGCTCATGTGCAACGCTATCTTTCATATTTGTGGCCGGATCTTTACGATTTTAACAGAAGTTGCATCTTACAAATGGGAAATGAATGCAAGTGGAAATGCGCTTTATGTAAATCGTTTACGATTACTTTTTAACTTGTTTAATGTACATGTCCAAAAGTGGATTACTTCTGCGCAGATCTAATTTTCGTACTTGTTTACCACTTTTTTCTGAAATTTTAACTGATTGCCCTTCTTACAAACCAAACACACGTCTAGGAATGAATCGAGGTTGTGCAGCCAAATATAAAAAATAGATTACACATGTGCAAATTCAACTTTTTTATTTGTGGACCACTTTTTCTGAAATTTCAACAGATTTGCAAAATGAAATTGAAAAGTATGTCAGAAATTGGATTACGAGTACGTAGAGCTAAGATTTTAACGCATTTCAGAAACAAAAATTGTGCTATTGTGGCCTCTTTTTGCATCGGTTCGTGGGCCCGTCCGTCCGTCTGTCCCTTCCTTCGGGTGTGTCGCTTTTTTGATATGTGGTGCCAATGAATGCACAGAGGCAGGGATTTTTTCTGTGTCTCATACAAATAGGGTTAAACCAATAGATCTATTTTTTGAAATGTCCGAGAGCGAATTATTCGGGTGCCAATTGTCCTACAACCACACTACCGCAAGGGTAGCAAAATATAGCCGAAAGCACAAGCATAAGCACAAGAAACGATTAAATGGGGGGTACAAAATTACCACTACCACCCAATTTTTTTACGGAAATACACGGTTTTGAAGCACCAATGATCCGAATCTGTCTGTTGGTTTGTCGGTCTTTCTGTCTGTATTCTTAATTCCGGCTAAACGGCTGAACCGATTGGAACCAAATTTGGTACACATACTGTTACACATAAAAAGAACAGTGCGTCATTGTTGTTGTTCCCGGTATATTTACTTCTTGAATGATCCTCGTAACACTGGTAACCTTCGAATTTTAAACACGCAAATTCTAGTGCGAAATTTTACGGCGCGGCGACTATGGATAACATTCCTCTTTCGTTCGTCGGCTGTAACAGAGTGCACTTGATTTTTAATCAAATAGCAAAACGCATGGGATTTTAATTGCCCCCACCTATACGTATTAACATTTGGTGATTAAATTCGGTTAATTGGGGATCTCCGGATCTCGTATCACTTTTTGAATGTAATTTCGCCTCTTCACTTCAGCAGGAGGATATAGTTGCGTGTCACGTTTAAGGGTATTTTAATTTATGGCCAGTTCCATTTCCATCTTAAGTATAATTCCGGATACGATTTTCATACGCAGGTGGGTAATCTTGACGTAAAGTCGCCACCTGTGCACGAGAACAAACACACCGTTTGGTAGCCTTTCCATTTACTAATAAGAGAGCCGCCATTTGCTGAAACTGGGTCATACACCTGATTTGATAACAAGATTCGATCCACAACCAAGAAAAAACTCCCTTAACTTTCTAGCGATTAATCAGTAACTATTTTTGCCCCTTCAGGGTTTATATGCTCTCACTTTTAATTAACTTGCTACCTTCAGTATTTTAATTTATTATCTTGCGACCTCTGTAAAGTTATGATCGAGTTTTCTCACGTATGTTATTGTAGACGGCCACTTCCGAATCGTTTGCTAAGTAACCGTATCTTATAGAAGCATACTACGAGTAGATGTTATGGAAATCCGGAAACTGAGCTCACTCCTCTGGATGACATCTCTTTTTAAATGAAGGTAAGCGTTACCTTTCTTATTTTTTACTTGTATTTGGCCATATATGTACCCATTTGTGTCCGGAACATCTATTTATTTGTGGAGACTTGTGTGTTAAAATTCTGTAATCAATTCAATCGATCATTCTTGATTGGGGGTTAATCAAACTGGGAGATTTCAATTGTAAAGTGGCGCTCAACCTATGTAAGTGTAACAAAGATTCTGAATATCATTTTACCCATTGCGATTCTTCATATCTTGTTTTAAATCGCTGCCACATTGCAGTTTTTTAAAATATTTTTTAACAGGTCCGGTATTTTAAATTTTCTAAACAGAATTTTAGTTAGCTCACAAAACTGTAAGACTTGAATAACAAAGTTATCCATGCAATTCCACTGCACCTGGAACACCCTGTATAGCTGTGCCGGCATTTATATTAAATTGGTCAATCCATTGGAAAGGCTTTACATGTTATTCAGCAAAAAGAAGTGTAATATTTTGCAGTTTACTCAACAGTGAAACAAAATACCACGAAAAAGCTACTTGACCGCAACAATATGTGCACGAGCTGGTCAATCAACAAATATGGCTTTAAAAAAGAACCAAATTTCCGCCAACGACGATAAGTCTTCGTAAAAAGTGTCCCCATTCTTACCTGCACTATTTGCGCTAAATTAATATCTCCAGCCGGCGACCCCCCTCATTCAATCAAAATCCCTCTACCACAAACTGTATAAAGCAGTATGTATGGTGGACACGATCAGTTACGCGAAATGTACAGGGCTTACATAATAGCCTTTTTCTGCGCTTTTGTGGAATGTGGTATAATGGTCGCGTTCGACCAAGCCGAACCCAATATTTTCACATTACGCACGAATTCATTGTCAAAAGTGCAGCGTAAGCGAGAAGATGCGCATGTGGAAGTGGCCAATAAGGGACAGTCCACAAAGGACCATCGGAAAGTGCAAAGTGCAGAACATGGTGGCAACGCCTCGGATTTTCAAAATAGTGGTGCACGCAGTTCCCAACATAAATCACAGGGTAAAAGTAACAAAGCGAGCAAATTTTTGGAGAAAATTGGGCATAAGCGAGGCCACAAGACTAAGGGGTACCACAATACCTTTATGCGCGATGAGATCGTAAGGGAGCATAAATTCTATGACGATGCTGACCACAGCGGATACTACAAACGGTATGGTGGACATAACCAAAAGTACAGCAACAAGAGTGGTTGGAAGAATGATCGCGCGAAAAATAACCGTAATGTAAATACAAGCCATAGGTAACGGAAGTGAATTCGATTTTAATAGCTCACTGGTGCATGAACGATTAAGCGAAAGTTGTGGTTTTCTGCGTCTTTTTTGTACAATTTTATAATTTTGATAAAAATAAAGTTATGCAACATAAGGAAAGTTTACTTAAATTGGGAAAAGGGAAGGTCTACATATACACTAACACCAGTATGAGGAGGGGGCGCGTTAATTAAAGGTGCGTCTGCTGGATCTAATCCGGTATAGCTACAGTATGGAATGTTGTGCACCTTTTTCATCTTTAATTTTTCACAAATTTTGCCCCTGGAAAACTGTAAAAGTTTAATTTGCGGTAGTTTAACACTTACGTGTAGAAATTGGTTGCGTCGCACCGAATTACTCTATAACCGCAGTCCGCGCCGAATTGCCGAGACGCGTCCAGGAGTTTCTCACATACTCCTTTTTTTCGATCTCCACTACGTACGAAAACCATATTCATCTTGAAGCAGAAAGTTTAATAAAGACCGAGAGGGTTAGCGGGTACCTACCTCAAAAATTTTATTTGTGTGATACTGCTGCCATAATAGTGGCGTTCTTTGTATGTGAGCGTAAAAGTGATACAGTTGTCTTAATTTTGCATCCTTCATTGTTCTCGCCACTTTATCCAATTGATCCGGATCCCAAGGACACGCCGAAGTATTTATGCACGCTCCAACAATATCACCCGTATGTCTACACTTCGCCACGAAAGAATATCCTTCAGTTAAGTACCTCAAAGCCTCTTGGTCGAATATTGGATTGTAATTCTGCCCGAGACCCAAAGAGGATACTGTCGGTTCGTCCGGATAGTAATACTTCCACAACATTTCGATGATACATGGGTATTCGTTGCGGTGTGCTTTCACAATCAGAAATGTTTTCTCCCCCTGTACACATCAAAATGTATAATGACTAATCTAACCTTTCACTTACAGTTTTCTTTCGACTGCTCCCTAAAATTGTTCTGTTGCATGTTTTTGTGTGGTGAGAAATTGCACTGAGTAATTTTGTTGCTTGAATGAAAGGCCACATTTTTGTTAACGCATTTTCGCTTGTAATTTTGACAGTGACGTAAATAATTTGAACGTGAATGACATTCGGCATACAATTATTAGACAGTTCGTAGAAAACTGGCATTTGCTCCTCGAGTCATTCAACATTGTTAGGTGCCAATGGTAGTGCCCAGTAAATGTGGAATATCAAAATGCCAATGCTGGTGACAGTGAGGATATTATGCCCAGTAGGTATCGGCATTGTATGAATTACGAACAGGATAATTTGAAATAATGGCTCTGTCGAGATGTACTTCGAAATCTTCTTAGAAATCCTATGCATTTCGTCTCTTCGAAAATACGATTAGGAACCTCTTCAGAAATATTTACAAGAAATGGGCATCAATTTGCCCTTGAGCCATTAGTGGGACCCCTGCGGAATGCAAATTTATATATGCGAAAGGTTCTCACGTTTAGCGGTTCGCGTAATACTAACCGCCTTTCCTTTATTATTATTATTATTATTAAATATCCTTGAGAATTATCTTCGAAAGCTTCTTATAGAACATAGAAATCTTCACAAATGTTCGTACAAATCTTCACAAAAATCATCATCTTTGAACTCCTCACGAAAACAAAATCGTCTTAAACATATCCTTCATCGGAAGTCGCAACTTTCCTATAAATCTGAGGCGCAACTTATTAAAAACCTCTTTCACTAGTATTATTTGGAATATTTTTAAGAACCATCTTGAGCACCCCTTCGAAACCGTCCTTCTTAGGAATTTTTAAGAAATATTTCAAGGAATCTTCCTTGAGGCCTTCTTTTAAACCATCCAAGAACTTCTTCCTAGAAACTTCCTTAGTATCTTTCTCCGAAAGTAAATTCATTGAGACCGTAGTAACTCCTATCTAAATAGGGTCTAGGACACTTCGCCGAATGCCCACAACGCCGACACGATTTTTTGAAGGTCCATATCGCCGACTAGGGACACTACGCCGACGGACACTACGCCGATCGTGCCCACATTGTCGACAAGTGTGCAAGGGACACAACGCCGACCATATGCCCACTTCGCCGACGGACACTACGCCGATCGTGCCCACATTGCCGAAACGTGTGCAAGGGACATTAAGCCGAACGTGACCACAACGCCGACTGTTCGAAAATCCAGGCCCCTCATACTCTGTCCAGTGTATGAGTTTGCATTTTAAAAAGTTTAAAAAACATGTCCTAAACCTACAAATAACCTAATATCCAAAGCTGCTTTGCTTCACACTCCGTCCAGTTTGATTAAGAATTTTCGTATGAGTCTGTAGTTCGAAAAAAGTTAAAAAAAATATTCTGAACCTACAATAACCTAACGTCAAAAGCTACTTGGTGTTGCACACCGTCCAGCTTGATTAAGAAGTGTTGTATGAGTCGACGTTATGGTCACGTTCGGCTTAGTGTCCCTTGTTCACTTGTCGGCGATGTGGGCACGGTCGGCGTAGTGTCCGTCGGCGAAGTGGGCATGGTCGGCGTTGTGTCCCTTGCACACTTGTCGGCGATGTGGGCACGGTCGGCGTAGTGTCCGTCGGCGTAGTGTCCCTAGTCGGCGATATGGACCTTCAAAAAATCGTGTCGGCGTTGTGGGCATTCGGCGAAATGTCCCGGCATCTCTAAATAGTCTTAAAGGCTTTCTTAAAATGTTAATAGACCTTGCTAGAGCCCACCTTCTAATCAGTTAACGAAGACAACTTTATTAGAAACTGACTAGGATTCGTATAAGTATAAAAAATATCTGCATAGGGTTTTTTCTAAAAATAATGTCTTCGAAAGTTTGAAATTACAAGAAGACTCTAAACCTACCCCATACTCGCTCATTATTCCAAAAGGGTGTGTTGGTTGCTTCTATAATAAGTCATCACAGTCTGAGGGGTGGCACCTTACCAGGCGCGTGGCGGATAGGGAAACGACCTAAGCGAATGAGCGTAAATGACGCAGAGGTTAATGCTAGGGGTAAGGAGTTACAACCAGCAATTGCCGTGTGGTAGACAAGAAGAAGAACCCTAAGAGACAAACTCTGATTGTCCTTGTGGACCAAAATTCCTGGCACCAGTTGGGGGCCACTAGCAACCATGGGTTCCTATCAGGGTGACAAATGAAATATCGGTTCCGGTTCTGTTTATATTTAAACGAAAATATTTATAACGGTTCCGGTAAAATAACGGTTCGGTTCTGCGTATTTTTGTTCGGCCCATAACGGTTCTAGTCTTTTAGCAAGTATGACATTCAAAAAAATCATTATAACAACGTGATTCATTAATTAATAGGTGCGAAAAAGAAGTAAAAAGTCATGAATACCAAAACGTGACGTATCGTCAGTCCGGTCAAAGTAGCTAATATACAATGACGAGGGGAATAAAGGAGGAAGGGGGAAATGTGTATTTCAACTTTATTTATTACCTAATAAAAAACAGAAAAAATACACAAAAACTTATGTAAAAAAAATTATGTATGGAATATTGTTTTTTATTTTTATTTTCGAAAACCTATTTACATGTACCAGTAGTGGCTCAATTATAAATGAATATTTTATCAATTTTCAGGAGGTGTTTGCCAGTGCGTCTTTCAACTTCCTGTTAAGAACGGGAAAAAAACCGAAAAAAATAATAGGGGTCCGGTTCTCAATAAGTTTCCATTTCTGAAGGAATAACGGTTTCGGTTCGGTTTTCGTTCCTGAAAAAAATACCGGTTTACGCTTCGGGCGTTCGACAATACCACTCTAGAATCGATTAAAACTGCTGTTGAAAGCAAGGAATACATATTCTACCGTGTGTAGATGGATATACCGGGTGGTGCACGGTAAGTAGGAACATAGGGATTTAACTTGGGAAATTAGTTTTATGCAATATCCTGCCCTCCTGTACCTTTTACAGAAAAAAAGTTAAAAATTGTTCAGCACTGCCTTTACATGTTTTATTACGACGAATGGTTCCCTAGATATGGCCGAGGAACAGTCTTATTGGGTCACCCTGTACAAAGTAACTACGATTAACAATAAAACGTATTTAATTTCCTCCTTTCATTGGTACGGAAATATCTTACCGTAAAGGAACCACTATTGTAGATATGATTACTAGGCGAATAAGTTCAATTTAATATTTTTTCATAGTACCTACTTAAGAACAAGTTTATCTTGATTTTAATTTTGAAATTCATTACTTTGTGCTGCGGTTTACGTCTAGGCGCATAAATGCACGAAACCAAAATTAAATTACTTCTCTTAAAATTGAGCGCAAAGCAACAAAAATGTGCAAATTTAATTTAATTAGGATATTGAAGTGCTTTTGTAGTTAAGATTGAAGTTTCCAGAGTAAAACTCAATTTTCTAATGTAGAAAGCGTTAGTAACGTGGAAAATAATAAAAAAGTTGTTTTTCTAATGAATTTAAGGGGTAGAAAGTAAAATAAAATGTAACAACCTGCTCTGGAAAAGGAGATTTTCGTCAAACACGTACCTATAAGTCCTATTATAACAAAAACACGCCAGTAAAATTTATGTCTAACTTTATCACAGTTAGACGGGCAGCGTTAGTGTTTAATAACGATTGTAAACGTTTTTTATATAGTGAACGTTTTATTGCACCGTCCGTCGTTATGTATGGCCTATTTGCAATTCTTTTGCAAACAATTAACGTTGTAAGTGGTTTTTAAAGCAATTAATGAGAGCAGTGCTGAAGTTCTGTGGAAAGAAATAATGAATAGTGGTTCAAATTCATTCATTTTCACATTTTTAGGTATTTTATCCAAACAGTCTCAAAATAAAAAGTGTATAATTGTTAAAACATGAAAAATGCTTACAACCGTTTCCAAGTTGCCAACTATAGATAATATGTGCATGGCATTTTGCCATTTTACATGTGCCTTCCGATACGCGACAACTCGCCAAGGGCGACTCGTCACTGACTGACTCGCCAACGTGACAACTCGCACCGCGATAACTCGCCAACGGATGAGTCGCCACTGCAACAACTGGTGAACGAATGGTTTTTTTTCAGGATCTCGCACAAATGCATTAACTGTAACCAATTATATCGCCAATTATACGTATGGTTCTTGCAATTAATTATTGATTTGTACACATCTGGTACTCCAATCACATTTTCAATTTTAGGCACATTCCGAAATTCGCGATAGCATATCTTCTCTTTAAATTAGGCTTTCAAAGTATTCCTCATTAAAGATACAAATTCGCTCCTTCTTTATGCATTGCACGATTACTTTGCCCATAGGAAAGGGGTAGTGATGAGTTTTGCAAATCAAACACCCTTATCTATACAATCTTATGCCCGTTTGCACCGACAAATTTAAATGGAGCTTAGCTTAAGCGTAGCGTAAAATCCATGGCAACCATTGCCTCAATAATCGTTTCCATGGACCCTTAAGCTAAGCTCCACTTAAATTTGTCGGTGCAAACGGCAATAAATGCGTCATTAATTTCATTTGTTTAGTATAATGCAAACTGTCAAAATTACAAGTCACAAAATGTATTAACAAAAATGCGCCCTTTTATTCAAACATCAAAATTATGCAGTATTATACGACATACTAAAACATGGCAAAGGACGATTTGGGGAAGAAAACGCAAGAAACCTGTAAGCTAGAAGTTTGCCTATTCGTAACATATTTAACGTCCACTTTCAGGAGGAAAAACCTTTCTTAATTGTACCAGCGCACCGCCAAGAATACCCGTGCATCGTCGAAATGATGTGGACATACTATTATCCGAATGAACCTACGATTTCATCTCTGGGCCTCGGTCACACACATAATCCCTTCCTCGACGAAGAAGCTTTAAGTATATTAAGGGAAGGTTATTCATTTGTGGCAAAGTGCAAGTATACAGGTGAGATCGTTGGAGCGAGCTTAAATAGTTCAAGTTGCCCTTGGAACCCTGATGAAATGGACGCAAAGGCTAAAACGATAAAGGATTCCAAATTAAGAGATCTTTACCATTTCTACGCTCATATGACTCGAGCACCATTATTGTGGCAGAAGTTTTGCACAAATAAAATATTTTTGGTGCTTACTTCTCGTTTCTCACAGATTATTAACCTTCCCTCTTTAAGATTAATATGGTTTTTGTTCGACATCAGGATAGAAATAGAGGAGTTAGTACGAACCTTTTGGATACGTCGCGGAAATTTGGAGCCGACTGTGGTTATAGCGTAATCCGTTGTAATGCGACCAATATTTACACGTAAGTCTTAACTCACAATGAGCATAAAACATTACGAGTATAAATGGATAACTTGTTCAATTTTCCAGCGCGAAGATATGCGAAAACTTAAAAATGAAGCTGGTTCACAGTATTCCCTATTGCAGCTATATAGGATCAAATCCAGCACAGACACCTTTGATTAGAGCACCTCCTCCGCACACGGAGCTTCGTGTATATGTCGATCTTCCCCTTTTCCAATACAAGTGAATGTGTCCCAAACAGTCTTATTTTCTTAAATTTTCAAATGCAAACAAGGATTGCAACCCCCGCATGATCTTAATTAGAACGTAGCGAAAGGAAACGATCTGGCGGCATTTGATGGGATTATAAATAAACACATAGCAATAATTGTCACCTCGGGTAATAGTATCCTGAAAACTATTGTCAACGTGAACGCTAATTTCCATAAATTAAAGTGGTAATGTCACGTATAGTTAAGATAGGGATTTTAACGTTGTCCGCCGGAATAACTAATGTGTATTAAGTACGCTTGATTGTGTAATCCCATTGTATTCGGGGGAATTGTTTGCATTACATAAAAGTGGAAATTGAGCTTTACTTTACACAAAATTTATTACCTAGTTCTGTATGTGGCCGAAATCGAGCTCGAATTCGATATTCTATAAATTAACACAAGTGCAGTCGTGAATTTCGTTTCAATTAAATGTAAATCACGTATATTTATAAACCAAGAAGACGCAATCATTGATAATATGCAGAAATACACCCCCAAATCCGAAAGTATGTACCACCCATGCAATATGAAACGAAATACCTATAATAAGAAAGTTAAACTGTTCTTTTTTCTTTTCAATGTTTCAGTTTTCTGAGATAAAAATTAGGATCCTATTTTTTATCCAGATGACAAATTGAAGTTGAGCTACAGGAAGCCATTAGGGAAGCCATGATCTTAAGTTTATTTGGATTTGTTCCGCTTTTCCTGGTCCTGGGGTTAAAAATCGAAAAGTACCATCATAGAATATATAGGTCTCTAACATACGTTCCTCCTTATTCATTGAGAAACAATTTTTCGTGACAAAAATAGTTACATGCACCAAGGGTAACACAATTACACATTCGAGTGCCTTCGTGCCTTTTGTAAAGGCACGTTCAATTATGCACTTGTTGAATACAACATTTTTGAAAAATAAAAAATTCTTGGGAAAATTGTAATTGTATTTTATGAGTCAAAACAATTCGCAAACACGCAAAAAAGTGTGTCTTAAAATGGTTGAAGAAGACAATGTTCTAGAAGAAATTCTTGAACGTGCTTTAAGGTTCGATGAAGAATTATTACCAAAAACACCAAAAGAGATTTTTTTTTAAATTTTATTACTTATTCCTCTCCTGTTCTGGGCCCTCAACAGGCTTGCGCCCAATTATAGAGTGACTCCCATAATGCTTTTTAGAGGTGCCTCTGCAGAAGGTTTTAAGTTGTTCTATACTACACCGGTATTTACATTACGAATTAAGAAACCTGCAGGAAGTATCCGGCAGAGTGCTCGAAACTGATGAAATGACTGAAGGAAATTCCCATCTCTGCCACAGATGAAAATTTCTTACCTCACACCCGACCTCCGGCTATGTAGCTCAACGGTGTACCATAGTTGGTTGTGGTCAAAATTAACGAAAAGAAAACTTGCAGTCCAAAAACTTTTAGTATATACAAGTTCAGAAACCATGCCGCCGACCTTGACCAGGAGCAAGGGGTAGCAACTTCTGGTGGCGCCGAGTTTTTCATCCCGCCGACTATACCGTAGTGTCCATTGTACTTGGAAAAGAAACTCATGCAATTGTAATTGTAGTTAATATATGTGGCTAATTCAAAATATTTTTCCGCCTAGTTTAATATGGGATACTAATACAGTATCGAGTCATGGGATCGATTTGGAATATGTGTTTTGGTTAATTATCAGACATTATTTATGCACATCAGCAAATTATTTACGAGATACAGTGGGACTAAATACAATGTGTCTCAGATCGGGTGGATTGCATGGGAACTTTCTTATTATTAAAGATATAAAATTGGTTAAATGGGCAATGTTTTGCAGTTTTAGATGCTTGTTTCAAATTTCCTTGTGGAAATTCAAAATGTCGAATAGGTTCGACGTGAATTCAAAAAAACTAAAATTGGTCATTTCCTTTAATGTCTTATATCATCGAACGTATAAGAGATATAAAAAAAAGTTTTATATAAAAGTTACTGTCTTTGATACGCCTAATTTAGAATTGATGTCAAAAAAAAATTCAAGATGGCTACCTTTGAGGAACTTTTACCAACTTCCTAAAGTTAAATAGGCGCCATATTGGATTTTTAAATTATTTGATAGATTTTTTAATTCTCTTTTCAACCAACTATCATAGCATAAGATTGAAAATAAGATACCAGTTATATCAACGGTTTTTATATTTTAATCAAGTAGGCTATGATGAATGAAAAAAACAAAACAAAATCTATTCGAGGCAACACAACAATACAAATAATTACATCACATGTTTAAAATACTGGCCATTATTAGTGAAACACACTTCAAGACAGTTTACTTTAGGTAACATGTTGCCATTGATACTATAACACGTCTTTAGAACGGCTTCACGCAGTTGTGTTATTGTTACCTTTAGTATAGTAGCTACTTCCATATACTTTATTCTTTAATGCTTAATTGTTGGTAGGTACCATAAACCAACCCTTTCTGCGAAACATACGTTGTCTAGAAAATCCTTTAAGGAAGTTTATTGGAGAATTTGTAAATAATGGTGAGCAGTTAAAGTTCCATCGAAGATTACGGTTCAATTACATGACTTCCCATTATGTCATAAAATACATTAATTTAAAACCTTACAAGATTTCGGCGTCAAACTACAACATGTAGTTTTCCAGTGACGAGTACTGTTCATTATGTCGATTTGAACACTCCGCAGTTAGAAAAATAAGACTCATCTGTCCATATACTCGAACTGGTAAAACTGCTAGTTTCGATATTCTTACGGATAAACCAGCTACAAAATGTGACTTGGGACAATGCATCAATGGTATGGTAATACATTGTGTAAAGTAAATCGAAGTGTCTTGAAATGTGTTTAACTGGATAATGGCATGGCATTTTTTGGAGAAGATAGTTTGCAGTTATACCAGCATTTTGTAGGTATGTAAGTATGGATAATATGATAGTCAATAAGTGACGTCAGAAAAGTCAAAATTTGTCTACGCCTATTTATATAAAATTTTGGAGGAAGTTGTAATGCCCAAACCCCCTCCCATGAGTGCGCCCCTGATATTTTAAACATCTGATGTAATTACTTTCATCGTTTTGTTGCGTCGAATAGATTTTGTTTTGTTTTTTTTAAATTCATCATAGCCTACTTGATTAAAATATAAAAACCGTTGATATAACTGGTATCTTATTTTCAATCTTATGCTATGATAGCTCGTTGAAAAGAGAATTAAAAAATCTATCAAATAATCTAAAAATCCAATATGGCGCCTATTTAACTTTAGGAAGTTGGTAAATGTTCCTCAAAGGTAGCCATCTTGAATTTTTTTTTGACATCAATTCTAAATTAGGCGTATTAAAGACAGTAACTTTTATATAAAACTTTTTTTTATATCTCTTATACTTTCGATGATATAAGACATTAAAGGAAATGACCAATTTTAGTTTTTTTGAATTTACGTCGAACATATTCGACATTTTGAATTTCCATAAGGAAATTTTAAATAAGCATCTAAAACTGCAAAACATTACCCATTTAACCAATTCTCTATCTTTAATAATAAGAAAGTTACCCATGCAATCCCACCCGATCTGGGACACACGGTATATCAAGGGCGGTTTACATGAGTTACCAATTTCAAAAAAATACATTTTGACGTCAAAAATGGCACTTGTAAAATAAATAGTGCAAATCATCCACCAAAATAGAAAATGCGAGTGCTTCATTTTCGGTAGATAGTTTTTTTCTTACTCGTCCGTTAAATTAATTACGGTCGAATTACGAATAAGTCACTTTTTCGGCGAGACCATAAAAAATGAATTGTAAACGCTATATTTTTATGTAATGTGCTACTAAATTTCTGCAAGCGAGATGCTTTTTGCTCATTCACTATTGCATAATTTATGCAGCTATTTTGTTACACATAATCATTGAAACAAACAATTAGTTATACAACCGAAACCGCAGAGTAAATGAAACCCCACTGCTCATTATTATATTGCCTACATATTTGTCGAGATATTTATAAATATACGCATCTCGCAAAATGTAAATCAATAAGTAAACTAGACGTGCAAACATGGAACGGTGTTTAACTTTATTAATTGTGACAATTTTCTTCATAAAACTGTCAAGCGTTGAAAGTTTGAGGGTGCCGGAAAATTTGGACGAGTTGATTGAATCGGGTAGAAAGCGGCTCGTACCTATAAACATGTCGGGGTTACTTTATAAAATTGATTTTAGGGGCGAATATTGCTTATATTAAAAGGTACAATAATGGAGATGATGGCGATAATGAACGCGGCTATCATAAAGTGTCGAACGATAAGGGTGGTGATGGATACAAGCATTTTGATAGTTTTCACAAGACAGACTCTGATAAATATGGATATGAAACGCATTCGGCCTTTGGGAAATCTGCCGGTAATGATGACGAAAGTGGAGAAAATGTGAAATATACCCAGGAAGGTGATAAACGTGAGTGCATTTATTTTATTTTAAGTATACCTACTGAATGATTATGCTCTTTATCTTCTCTTTAAAATATTTGCAATGGAGCAATCGTCAACGAACGATAGAAAAAAGCAAATTTGATTAATACCGCAAACCAAATTTTTTAAATTCTTAAATTATAATAATTATAAACATTCGTAGTTAGGAATGCTGGTGATCCTATTCTGTTTGCTACAACAATAGATTTTTGAAATATTCCTGTGGTTCCAAAAGCTTAGAAATCTTTGCATTTTTAGAAATATTCTTTCAAGTCTTATAATCTTGGAAGTCAGTAAGTAGAGACCTCAATAGATGTTCTGTAAACCGTTTATGGAATCGTTTAAGAAACCGAATTTTCATTATAAAAGCTTCTCGAATTTTTTTCGATAATTTACAAAATCTTCTTTAAAATCCATATTCTTCTTATTTTCTTGGACTTTAAATTACTTCTAACGAGATTTCTAAGATTTCTGAAGAGATGTCTCAAAGAGTAAAATCTAGCAGATTTCTAGGAATGCCATTAGCTAAATTGCAATATTTCCAAAAATGCTTTGAAATTATTAAGACTGAGAAAAAGGTTTTTTGAAAGTCAAGTTCCTAAAAGACTTCTTAAAGAATTTCTAGAAAAATTCCTAAAATTTCGAAGATAGATTTATTAAAATTATTCGAAAGCTTTTCCGAGAAGATTTCCATGAATACGTTTTTTTTTAAAACTCCTAAGCAACATTGTTAAGGGTTTTTTTTTAATTTCTTGAAAAACCTTTTCAGGAATTCAAGAAAAATGTGTTCTAGAAAATACCGCAAATTCTCGAAAAAATGTACGTGTAAAATTCGTATAAGTATACTCGAAAAGTCTTCTGCGTAGTTCACATAATTCTTACATTTTATTTGCGTCAGAGAACTATCAGCCAAGGCAGATCAAAGAACGCTACACTACCGAATATACATTCACGTAGCCCGTTCGTTAGAAGTTTATAAACTTGAAGTTGAAATAGAATTGAAGTAAAATAATTTTAAAATGGGTTCCCTTCCGTAATTACTGGAAGTGTTGTTTTTTTTAAATAAAAACTTACAATTCTCTATTTTTTTCCAAAAGCGCTATATTATTAAGATTTAAGTGTCATAGTTTTTAACATATGTCAATTTTTCTCTAAAAATTTAAAGATGCAAGGGTGCATTCAAAAATTCAAAGTTTAGATTAAGTTAAAGTGTGAGAGATTTTTTGAGTGATCGCCGAAAGTCTTGAAAAAGATTCCAAGACTGCCGCCATTTTTCAAAGTTTACAATCAAAAAATGTCAAAAACTTCAATTTTTCAAATTGTAACTACTCTTTCTGATACCAAATATCGCACTTTTATCAACATTCTGTATGCCTATATCCGGTAGTTTTTGAGTTATTGGGATAAATAACAAACAAATAAAAATCAACACAATGTGGATGGTCCATAGTGAAAATTGGAAGAGTTAATTTGAACACTAAGATAAAAATGTTTGACTTTTGATTCGAAGGACATTCCAAATTAAACGATTGCTTCCAAAACCCACTACGCCTAATGAAAAATAAGAATATGCCAATAACTCGATATCTACATGATATAGGCATATAGAATGTTAATAAAAGTGGCCCTAAAATTTAAATCTACATTTATTTCTGGCATCAGAAATAGTAGTTGCAATTTAAAAAACGGAAGTTTTTGACATTTTTTGATTGCAAACTTTGAAAAATCGCAGCAGCCTTGGAAACTTTTCAAGACTTTCGGCGGTTACTCAAAAATTCCTGAGACTTTCAGAATTGCATCTTCAAATTTTTAGGGAAGCCCAATTTACATTGGGCAAGTTTACTGGCGGAAAGTACTGTCGGCCAGTAAACTTGCCACGTGTAAATGCGCGGAAAGTGCCAGTTAAATAGAAATAGGGTAGCAAGTTTACTGGCAGAAAGTACTTCCCGCCAGTAAACTTGCCCAATGTAAATTAGGCTATAGACGAGTATAATACTCGTAGATGTATTCCATTGGAAAAAATGCTGAAAAAAACGTTGATACCTCCAAAAGTAGACGAATTTTCACTTCAAAATTGACTCAAACAAAAGAGAAGAAAGAAAAGTAAAATTCTGACAATTTCAGTTGATTCGTTTGGTACACGAAATTCTCAAGTACTTTTGTTCTGCTAATTTAAAAATTTGTGCTCATCACGTTAATGAGTACGTAATTCAACTTTTTTCTGATGATACTCCCAACTTCACGCTTCACTTGTTACTCTTTGCTTGGAACTTAACTCATGTCAAATCGACACTACAACTTCACAGACTCGCTATTATGAATTCACAGCAGAACCCACGAAATCATCGACCAAACTTCAAAAATTAAAGACATATGATTTGACAGGCATTGTTTGCTGTTTGGGTGGTAAATTAAATAACATTTTATTAATCAGCTGCCTCTTTGATTGTTTTCCGACACCTGATTCTACCCTAGTGGGCGATATTTGTGTTTTATATAACCTCGTCTGCTTATTTATAAATCCATCTTTGCTAAAGCATAATTTATACGTTCGCCAAAATTTAATTTGAGCTAATTAAAGCACGTCTACCAGATAAATTAGTATTTCGCAATTAGGGATAGTTAAAAGTTTTGGTCAGAGAGCAAGTGAATGAAAATTAATTTCGGTAGATGCTATAAATTAATTTTGCAAATTGATTGGTCGTCCGTTTTTGTTATTCAATTACTTATTTAACAACTAAAATAAACATTTTACAATCTCCGATTTAATTAAATGAATCCGCAAGAGCTCAGCCGGTAATTTTAATTTATTATCAAACAAATGGGCCCTTGCAATTATTTTTCCCCGGACGCATTGAAAACCTGCCACGGACTCGGTAACATAAAATTTTATTATGTTTAACTGAGTGGTTAATTAAGCTACTTTATGAAATTGTCCCTTGTAACTAATAAGAAAAAGTTTTCAGCTAATAAAGTGGGGTGGGTTCGTTGATCAACCTATTTTCCTTTGAAAGAGCAAAATGAGCTTTTACATTTTTAACGGCGCCTCTTTTTATTTTTGTAGAAAAGGCGGACTATGAAGATGAACAATACAACGATAAGGATGTGGAGGAGCGAGAAAGTAAAAACGCCTACAAGATTGTGGAGTAAGTGCTCGGTTTCATTCCGTGTCCGTTTTTATAGTGACGTATATCAACCCTTTTAATCTTTACAGCAATGAAGGCGATAGCAATTATTATAGCGAAGGTAACGCCGACGCGGCCGCAGCCCTCGGTTACGTTGGAGAATATAATGCAGGTGGTGGCGATTCTAGATTGTACGATAACGGTGGTGAAACTTATTCACAGGAACAACCAGAACATTATGAAGTAGAAGAAAATGTTGACGGTATGTGCATTTAACCGAACAACAACATTAATAATTAATATTCAATTTACGTTTCACGCTCAAAATGTGTTCGAGTCAGCTCAAGAAAGTCTTTCCATTGTTGTCCTCGAATATTGTTGTCAGTCCCCTCTCCTATTGGCGTGTTAGAGGCTAATTGGAAAGATACTTACGAATCATAGCAATAAAATCGAAGTAGACTGTTTCTAGGAACTAGGACGAAACTTTTTGTCTCTTCTCATGTCGTTAGTGGATTTCTTGCTCTCCGATTTCCCTCAAAATATCTGTTGTAATATTCTGGTAGTAATGGCAAACAGCGTTCAGTTCGTAAACGTTTTGTTTCATGCGTACCTACCTATTCCACCTTCTCTGTTCGCATTCAAACGCTTATTTATTTAAAGTACCTATTTATTTACAGAGAGGGAAATAAACAAACCCTGTGAAAGCGTTAGCTCATTATATCTCGAGATGTAATAAAATAAATAATAAAATTTGTATATTGCGGTGTTGGTAATTTCGGAATTAATTTCATTCAAGAAAGGTTCGTGCAAAATGTGAAAAGGTTAGCTATCACTGAACTTGTACATACTCCTCTTTGTTTGCATACAGAACGCATTTTTACTATACGACCCCCTCATTTTGTTGTGAAAACAAGACGGAATACATCCATTTTGGGGATTGTTATTCTACCCGGTGAGAATGGCAACAAACCTTCTGCCATAAAACTTCGAATGTACTCTTTCAAGTACCTACTTGTAAATTTCATAAACTATGTGATTAGATATTGATGATGGTAAAATTAGGTAAATTCACACGTCTAATCTAATGTTCTGCACTTTTCAACAGCTTCTGCATCATTTTCTCGCACATTTTATTTTTGACATTTGCAAAGTTAAAAAAGCTCACTCAATGGGTGAAAGCTTACTTTATCGATTCCGGAAAAGAAATTATGATAGCATTGGCGGTTCTACCTTGTTGTAAAGCAGCTTTTCTTGGCTTCAGTTCATTAAATTCGAACGCTCACTGTTAAATTTTGTGAGCATTTCTAAATATAAAAATAATAAATAAATACAATGCAAAAATACAATTTATAGAAAACTTTTAAGACAATTTTGAAAGGTTTCTGGATTAATTGATTTAAAAGAAGGTTCGTGAAACTTTTTAAAAATGACGGTACTGTCTCCGGTTGCAAGGATAACGATTCTCCCTTACATTGCGGTTATATACGAACTTTCGGTTCGAGCTTTTAATTATTTGACGAAATCTATAACTCTTTCGCGTTCACAGTATGTAAATTTGCACCAAAAATTTGACAAAAAGAAATACGAGATCGAAAAAGGTAGCGGTTGACCGGAATAGATTTTCTTAGAATGTTTCAGTAAGAATTTGCTCTGCCACCAAATTTTTACTGAAATACCTCGCCGAATCCCAAATACGAAACGGCTCCCGTTTTCCTGAACGCAACTTTTGTGGAAAGCGTGCCCTCTTAACCAATACAAATCCCGTATTTTCCTCATATTCGCAAAACCGAACTAAATTCAGTTCTTTTTTATGGTGACAAATTTGTGGATAGTTTCCCGTGTATATCAATCGCGAAATTCGCTAAAAAATGCATTCACTCAGTTCTAGTTCAATTTTCCAACTGAGTTACCAACAAACGCACAAAAATATTTCGTTTGGTCTACCATTATGACAAATTTAAGCCATCCAGCAAAATATGAGCGACATAAAGTTTGAAACAATAAAATACATATGCATTATATTCAGTCGATTGCCTTAACCTTTCCGTTCGACTAAAATTCCTCAGTGCAAACTTTTGAAAAAAGAGTGTAATCCAGAAAGACATCTTAACAATACAATCACAATGCCTAATGCGAAACGAAATTGGTCAATTTGGTAACATACAAATCATCCGTGATTATTTATCGGATTTACATTTATCAATCTTCGAAAATGCGCGACGCAACGTAAATATTGAATCTCGCATGAACTGATTGAACAATAAAATGAAAAATTGCGATTTCAAAATGATAATCGATTATTCAACCTGGCATGTCGTGTTGTAGTTCTAAATTGTTTATCATTGCAGAGGCGGACAACGAGGCGGGTAATTACGAATCTCGGGGAAATGAAGATGAAATTGCAGCGTACGAAACTGACGGTGGTGAAGAAAGTGCTGGAGAACATTACACGGCTCACGACGCCGATTATTAAATAGAAATTAAACTCCCAGTTTGTTATACTTATTAAATAAATGCTCTCTAGATGTGTTGTTTTATTTTCGAACTTGGTTAAAACGACATCGTTTTAGCTGCATCATAATTATTCCTTTACATCTTAGTTACCGCACGATTGAAAATTTGACATTACACCTGTCAAAATTTTACCGGCCCGTGAACCTGTGAAAGCATCAAAAGCCCGCATCCAGATCTACCATCTTTATTATGAAAATAACTACATATATTGTATTACAATATTATTGTGTCAATTTATTGATATAAAATGTACAATTTGACAAGTTACTGAATGAAATTGGACAATTAAATATTAACTTTCCTTTTTTACCAAAAATCGACTACACCAAAATTTCTCGGGAAAACACTTTTTCTTATTAATTTTGGTGCGAGAATCCAAAACAATTCGTACTTTTTCGATTAGACTTCTCAATCAAAAGTTATGGACTAGAAACCAATTTCCAAAGAAAATTCAAAGGGCTGTAACTTTTGAACTAGTAGCCCAATCTTCGCACTGTTTGAAATTATGGATTCTACAGGGCACCTTCTATAAGAAATTTTTTTTCCCGGTCGATCTGAGACAATTTCCTTTTCGGGGCTCAAAAAAAGGCAGTGTATAACCTTCCTTTTTTACCAAAAATCGACTACACCAAAATTTCTCGGCAAAACACTTTTTCTTATTAATTTTGGGGCGTAGAATCCAAAACAATTCGTACTTTTTCTTACGATTACGATCTTACATATAAATATGTAGTTTAACCCTGAAGGTGCAATATGCATAATATGCGCGTATTTACACAAATCATATATGTACGTTGTAGGAAAATCGACTAAGTTTGTTTTATGATTATTCAAGCTTAATCTGGTAAGCTTTCATATTGTAACTGTTGCTCCTCGACAAGTATACAAAATGTCTCCAGTATTGACCGTAATTTTCATATTTCTCGGTAACTACTTACCGATTTATAAATGAGATACAGAGAAATAAAATTAAGCTTTAAAGTCGTCCAGTGAAAACAGATTTATTTATGGCACCCCCAAGTTAAAATTCATCGAGTCAACTGGATCAATGCCGCTTACATGAATAATTAAGTTTAAGGAAAGCCCGTTGTGAGTTTAATCAAAGAGTATTATGGATACTCTTTGGTTTAATGCTTCATTAAGGGGCCGCGAATGGACCATACGATTAAGAAAAAAAAAGAGTAAGGCCCATAGAGCACTAATGGAAATACTGCACCAATATACACGAGCGACAAGGTTGACGAGTATTGACCAAAATTTTAGCAGATACTCCCTGGACGATTGTTTATCTATTACTGAAAACAAAATTCGAAAATTCAAAACCGTTCGCGAGTTATCATGTACACAGACCGAAGGGCAGACGAACAGAAAGTTAACTCGCTTTTTGTCGCTCGTTAATAAAGGAGCTACACTACATTTTTAAAGAAAAATCAATTGGGGAAAAATAAAGTAATTCAAGAAGCTTTAAGGAAGTTAGTCGGAGTTCTGGATGAAATATACGGATGTTTAGGGAGTGTGACGAAAAAATTAGGGAAAAATATATGACGAAATGAGAAGACATTGTGAGGAAATGAAAAGAAGAAAACTGGGAAAATGAAGGAAAGTTTTAAGAGATTACTGTTACTTACTTCGCTTCAAAATTAGAGTGATTTAACGCGAGAAACTAGGATAATTAAAGAAAATTAAAAAATAAAACTATAAGGGCTTTTTAGGACAAAATTTGAGGGAATCGGTGATGACATAGGAAAGGATTCGGAATAACCCCAAGAAAATTCTGGAAGAAGCTGTGGAAAATAAAATGTTATTTTTAAAGAAATGGTGTATATAAATTGAAAAACTGAAGTTAATGTATGAAACTTGATGTTTAAATTAATACATTTTGCAAAAATGCACTTTTATTACATTACATTTTGTTTAAAATGTCTTGTCGGCCCACTGATTTGTCCAATAAAAAGATCGATTCTACTAAAAACCACCGAAAAAATAAAAAAAGAGCTCATTGTTACCTTAAGTTTGAAATATGGTGATAATGTAAATATTGTTGGCTTTCAATGGAGAAAAAAATTAGCGATTTTGTGAATCGGGGTTGAGTGGTGGAAGGAAGAGGAGCACGATTACGGTTAGAGGGTTCAAAGTTAGTAACTATAATTACAACATGTAAAAAAATTGCATTTGTTCCCCTACTACTCTTTTCGCACAAGTTTATAAATCCTGCACTAGCGACTGAAGCAACATCCTGCGTCCTTGTCGACTTCTTAGAACATACGCGATCAAAGTTCCATTATAACCGAAAATATTTTAAATGTTCATCAAAATCGTTTTGCAAACCAAAAAAGGAAAATTCCCTTAGGACCATCACGTTTACCTTTCCTCCAAAAGGTGAAAACGGAAGCTATCTGGTGTCTCCATCTGAGTAGACTAAAGGATGTTATAGCATATTATGGATAACCACAAAACTGTAACTTCTGTAAACATTGAATTTTCTACATTACTTTATCGTCTCGCCATCTAACGTACGGTAGCAGCTTGCCACAGATATCGTCAATTGCCTGGTTTAATATTTGAGAAATATATGTATGGAGGGAGCTACCTCCCTAGATTTTTTAAATCCTGAATAAATTTTGAGGGCGAACGTAAGGACTCCTGAAAGTTATGAAACTTATACCAATAGTTAGGGGGAAGCATGATTTTTACACTAAGGGGGAAGGAGGGAATTTCACAATAGTACAATGGAAGGGTAGCATTTTGTATGGCTACGCTCTACCGCAAGATTACATTTTCTGTTAAGCAACATGAATTTGCACAACCAGTGAAATTACATATATGAAAATTATTACACAATTACAACTGAAAATGGAAGAGGTTTTATCAATAAGCAAATTCGATTTTAGGCAAATTATCGTACAGTGGAAGTGAGCGGGTTATCTGAAAACAGTTGCTTATTGTTACGCCATCTATTGGATCGATTTTCTATACCTTAGGAAAACCCACCACACAATCTGGAATTAGAAAACAAATCTTGGTGGGAAGGCTAAACCATTATCAGTTCCATTTATAACGACAAACTCTATTTCCGTCTGGAAGGACAGATTACACAGCTAATTATAAACTCATGGAAAGTACAGGAAAAAGAAACATATTAGGAATAACTTTTATTGTAACTGAGAAGGCTTTTTCTAATGAATATAACAATACATGGGTAACTATTGCATTTATGTTTATTATGAAGAGATAAATATTGCAATAAATAAAATTAATACTGAAAATAAAATTACAAATCTCAATTTTTATTTGACGAAAACAGCATCATTCTGTGTGTTGACTAGCGAAAATTTGAGTGGATCTCTAAAAGATCCCACAACATACACAAAGAGCATTTGGTCAAAAAGAATAAAATCGGCAGAAATGTGCATATAGTGGAAAAATAATTGCAACATCACATCTAAAGCTCAATATGAGCCATTTTTATTAATTTAACTATATCTTAATGAAATTAAGCGTTTTTTTACACAATACGCAATCACATGTTTCATCAGAAGGGGGTCCAATAGCGTGATAAGTAAAAACTATAAAATACTAAATTATTTACACTAATAGTTAATTGCCCTTTCAAAGGGGAGCAAATCAGTCTTATTAAGAATGAAGGGTGAGCCTTTCGATGTTATAAGTCTTGAGGTCCTCTTCAACTAGTATACGTAGATTGTTTTTAGTTGGGGCCTCAATTCAGGCGGTATCGTGTATACTTCGTTTTCAGGCTTCTTCTTAACAAGACGTCTCCAGCGTCCGCCGAGATTTTTTCGAAAGCCTTGAACTATTCCTGGCCTCTCCATTTGCAATGTATGTACTAGCGTTTCCTGTAAAGATAAAGCGATTTTAGTCAACGGTCTCTCGCTCCCCTCGTTCAACGAACCCGGCGACCCTTCAAGAAGGGAAACGCGGCGTGGGAATTCGTGCTGGAGAATGTTAACATATGGCGGTTATATTTGTAGTTGTGGCACAAAAGCGTCCTTTCAACAAGGTCTTCTTGTTAACACCCTCCAACGCGCTTTCTCTTACTTGTTACCGTGCGGATTTTAAAATTGAGCTCAAGGAACGGTATTTACCTGGTTGTTATTGCAGTACAGATGTTGCGAAGGTGGAGGAGGGAACTGCCACAAGGGCTGCCCGCGGTACGGCAAGGGATCCGCCGTGGTAGCAAGTGGCTGTGGTGGTGCTGGTGGTTGAGCTGGTCCAGTTTGTAGCACAACATCCGTTGGATGGACGCTGTTGCTGTGTTCTTCTCTTTTCCGAAGCTTGCTGCGGACAAGACGAATTGCAATCATAGTACCGTTACTCCCGACCATTTTATTTTTGGCGTTTCTCGATGAAAAACTAAAGATAGCCAGCTTGAAGCCGTTCGTGTAAAACTTTAATCCAAAAAGAGTGTGCGAACAAAACACTGTACTGTCTCCAACTGGGGTAACACAACAATAATCCCCAACAATGGCAACACACAAGTTACGAAACTGCGATAGATCGCGAATAAATAACAAAAACTTCAAACTTTGTAACAACTTTATACAACAAACTAAAGCTGTAGTCTGAAGCGTTTCCTGTCCTCGCTCGCTTATATACCGCGACGGTGACGTCGAGCGTAGCGCACTCACCATGAGAAAAAAAGGGAAAAGGGGGGCGTCGCTAATCTACTCGAGTGGCGCTGAAACAGCTGAGAAATACTAACTGGAAAATACACTTAGCCGTCGGTTTCATTTTGATAAAACCCGACTAGGAAATTTGACGAATTTACGTAATACGAAAAGAACTGAATAAATTTAAATACAAAAACCTAGGCGAGGTTAATTTTTTACCTTAACCCACAAAAAAATAAACTTTGATAACGTCGTCGACAGTTGACTGATAAAATCTTGACAACGCCAAATAACTAGTTTTGATTGGACTACGATCGATAGAAGCGTTTTGAAATTTGACCCTCTACAATTAAGATGCGCTTTGCACAGATATATTTTAAATCGAGTGCGGCACAAAGGGTTTGTGCTCAATTTCAAACAAAAGAACCTAATTTTAGGATAAGCCAGTTGCAAATATGAAAACATTTCCAAGATAAAGACACCCCTTGGTGCTACAATTGGACAAATCAACCTAGCCTAGAGAGTTTAGGGGTTTCAGTTGCAATTTACACTGTTAATATCTACTTAAGTATTTGGTTCCCCATGTTAATTACACAACGTGTTCAAGGATTTTAAACACAGTAAATGAAAAAAATGTTGGGCGTAGAAAATTTGTTGAGTGAACATTCGCCTGTTTTTTCGCAGCACACCCTAGCCGATTTATACCGATTTATATTATTACGTAATTATTTCCCCCTCTTAGGGCAACAAATCAGACAATAATATTGGAAAGGCAATTAAAAAACTACTACAAGATAGGTTTTTCTAGTTTCTACGCCGTTTTGATTGAATGGGCAATTTTTCAAGGAAATATAACACCGGCAAGTGGCCTTTAGAAAGGGAAAACTTGTGTTTGTGACCGCATGTAAAAAAGGAAAAAACTTAGATCTTTAAGTACGCAGGTATACTTACTTAAAGAGTAAAGACAAATTTTACCACAGACAACATGTCTGTGATTTTACTAAGGCGCCAGGAAGGGGCGCTAGAATCATTTAACTTGCAGAAGGGTCGCGTATTCAAAAACGTTGAAAAACACAGTCTTAGAGGGATTCTTTGGCATATTCCTCCTAAGAAAATTATGAATAGCAGTCGCAATTTTAGAAAATCTAAAATAAAACATTGTTTACATTTAAATACGTGGAAATTCAGAAATAGAAGCAATATTGAGACAAATTAAGGAACAACTAAAGGACCTAAACGAACGATCTCGCCGCATTGAGGAGAAGCTCGATGAATGTAACAAGGAAATACAGGAAATTAAAAGGGAAAATTCCAACCTGAAAATAGAGAACGGCAAACTTAAATTCGCGGTCGAACAACAAAATTGATTATCTAGAAACGGAAATCGAAATGAACAACTTGATAATTCACCGTATGAAGGAAGTAGAAAACGAAACTAATCTGAAAATTAAGGAAAAATTACGCCAGCCCTTGAAAACATGGGTGTTAAGTTTACGATGGAATCCGAGATTCAAGAAATCTACCGAATAGGTGAAAAGCAGCGCCATTATTTATGTCAAAACCCAAATACTTAAATCGGCAAATAATTTACGCGGCACAGAAATATTTGTATCACAAGATTTTCCCAAACAAGTACTAGAACAACGAAGAGCGTTACTCATCACTCCATCAGTCATTCTGAAAAATGCTAGAGAAAACGGAAATCATGCTTATCTGAAATACAAGTTGATACTAAATGGAGGAATTCAGAATTGAAGATTTGGAAGAAGAATTTGAGACCGAGGGAACTGTGCATGACCCAACAAAGAAAGGAAGAACAATATGCATGGGACATCTAGCAAAAAACTGCCCGGAAAACGTTCCTGTGGAATAATGAAGACGACATTCGCTACGAAACACGGAAAACACGAATTTAATAGCACGAAACTAGATATACTTGAAGTATGCGAAACCAAGAAGAAAAGAGGAATAATGAAGATGGAAGAAGGGCATGTACGTTTATAATAGCGGAATCGATTCAAAAATGAGAGCAAAGGAAGCGTGGCTTGTTTAATAAAGGAAGAAGACGCGAGAAGACTAAGTAAATGAATGAAAGATTGATTAATGAAACAGACAGAAAATACTACACTTCTAATAGCTTATGGACCAAATGAACACCAAAGTAAAAGCAAAAAGGGCAAATTTACAGACGAGCTTGGAATAATGAAGAAATGGGAGGAATTATTGAACAATAAAGAAGAAATCGAAGGAGCTTTGTGAAGAAAAAATACCTAAAAGTTACTTAGATAGAGATATAGATCCAATAAAAATAGTGAAAAGAATAAAAAATGGAAAAACAGCAGGGCACGATAGAATAACGCCAGAAATGGTAAAAAATATAGGAGACAAAGGAATACAAATGTTAACCGAAAGCTTGGAATACGGGGAAAGTTCCCAACGATTGGAAAATTGGTGTAATAGTCCCCATCCACAAAAAAGGTGATACTACAGACTACAAAACGCACAAATATACTTATAGCATTTTTGGATTTATAGATGGTAACGCAGGAAACTATAAGAGAAAGTCTCGAAAAGAAAAAAATAAACATGAAATCAGCAAATTTCGGTGGCATATGAAGGGAAGTAATGAAAATTTTCTGGGTTTCTTTAAACTTTAAAGCATGATAGTTTAATTGCACAACTTTTCCCTAATTTCACCATCGTCGTATCTTCTATGATATCCGAAATCCCCATGATAGACAAGGCTGATGTAATGGCGCACCCAACTTCGTTGGACAATTTCGATCGAATTTTTTGGATATAGCAGTATAAAAAAACATATTATATTATACAGTGTGTAAAGCGATGGGGTATACAAGAGGGAATTTTTTTTTAAATATTGATTTATGAAAAAAATTTATTCTTAATCATATTTTTTGCTTGCTTTGAAAGTACCAATAACGTTTCGATCATCTAAAATTTATTTATAGAAATCTGGAGAAATAATAAAATTAATATTTTTTATTGAAAGTTATCATTCTACATTATAATCAAGATAGCGTGTATTGCTATCAAACCACAAACAATCGAAGCGTTATTGGTACATTCAAAGCAAGCAAAAAATATCATGAAGAATAAATTTTTTTCATAAATCAATATTGAAAAAAAATTCCCTCTTGTATACCCCATCGCTTTACACACTGTATAATCAAATTTAAGAAAAAAACTCAAATTAAGGAAAATAGTTTGTTAATTAAATTCATAATTTTACCAGTTTGACCATGTTTTTTATGTATTCATATTAAAAAAAGCTCATTATTTAATAATATCTCGCAAAAATAGTCCTTTCCATTACAAAAAAGTGGCTCTCTTAGTTCGTAGACGCTTTGGTAGACGCACGCCACTATATATAATTTTTAAGCAAGCTCAAATTAGTTTAACGATTTTTGATACAAAACTAACAAAAAATCTCGTTTTTTTAACACAAACTAGGGAAATTATTAATTGAATCAACACAGCCAAGTTATTTATGCTGCTATATCCAAAAAAATGTTACGTACTCTTTAGGAATATGTACTAGTGTTGGCCACTTTTAAAAAAGCTCTCCTTGACCATGCAGAAATACGCCACTGACCATAAATTAGGTACGTAAATTAGTAACTTTATAATATTTTGGATACGATAAAAAGCTTCTTAAAAAACGTTGTTTGGAAGTGTTCCAGACAAAATTTTCACCCTGTATATCAGTACAGGGTAAAAACTAAGTTTGACTTTTTAGGATGTTATCATTTCTTATCTATATGATAGAAAAACGGTTTTTTGGACCACAGTTTCTGAGATTTGTATATTTTAACATCAATTTTTGCATTTTTTCCTGATTACATTGTCCTAACTCTATTTTTTTTATTTTAGCCACGGAAACCTTATTTTTACTGTTTTAGAGTAGGCCTTAGATTCATGGAACGAATTATTCCAGTAAAGACGAACTTGAAAATTTAAGAGTGAGTTCAAATGAAAATCTGAGAAATAATGAATTTTGAGATATTTTGATTGGAATTTGAAGAGGAGAAAATAAAGAAAAACTTGAAATGAGCTTATGAGAAACCTGAGAATACCTAATAGGAAGTTAAGGAAGCTTAAAACTTTGAGAGGTACCTACGAAGAAATTGAGAGACGCTTTGAGGAACATATAGGAAAGAGATTTCAAGGGAATTTAACAATTTCAAAGGCACTTATTGGGGAATTGAAGGATACATTCACTTGAGGAAAGCCGAAGAAAAAATTGAAGGAAGGACAATTAGAAAGCCTTATGAGAAAATTCAGATGCGCGTATACAGAGAACTTATAGAGAATTTGGGAAGAATTTAAGGAATATTTGAAAGAAACATATGAGAGGAACTTAAAAATTAATTATAGAGAAAAGGGCGTTTACAGAAAAATAAACAAAGTTTGAGGGAAAGGGAAACATGAAGAGAGTTTGAGAGGCACTTGATGAGAAGTTAAAAGAGATCAAGAAATTTAAAAACTTCGGAATAACTTTCCACGCACGACTTATTTATGTCAATCCCGAGATGTCGGTGAATTGTCATCCCCTAAAACACCGGGGATTTGAGAAAATTCCCCTGGGGGTTTTAAAGATGTTTATAAAATGGTTCTAATAGTCATATGCAGGGTGAAAATATTGTCTGA